ATTTGAATCAACTCAATGCCTCACGCCAAATTTAATTAGTTTCCATTTTACATCTTCCTTCCATCCACGTCTAGGTCTCCCAAGTGACGTCGTCCCTTGAGGTATTACGATTATAATTTATTGATTTCTTTTGTGTGTGTATTACCAATGATCTCCCATGCTTAATTTAGGTCCCACTCATCACATTCCCCTTTATTATTAGACGAAGATTACGAACAAAAACGCTCCTACTTGTGTGATATTCTCCATTCTCCTGTCACTGCCTTCTCCTTAGGTCAAAACGTTCTCATCTGCACTCTTGCCAAACACTCACGTAGTCCCCTCAGAGCGAGTTTCTCACCCACACGAAACAGGAGACAAAATTATGTATTTCTATAGTTTGTTGTTCACATTTTGGAACAAAATATTCTGAACTGAATGGCAGTATACATTTTTATCTGTGGTTTATAGTCTTGGTGAACCGCACTGGAAAAGTACCCTTCAAATCACACGTTCTTCCGTTTCCTGTTCTCGGGCTAAGAAAAATTTTAACTACCAGCAAATTTCTCACAATATCAGGAAAATTACTTGTACCTTTCCCGCATCTAATCAGGGAAATCCGATTTCTTAAGAAGCATGTTCACTTACCGGAGCTAATACCTCCGGGTCTCTGTTTAGGACACACGAACGCATAAGATCGGCATTAGGCGGATTCCAAAAACTTAACATTACATTGGCAATTATTACAAATCTGTTAAATTATACAACCGATTGTGGTCTGCTGTGAATTCACCTTGAAGATGGGAGCCATACGTTCCTCCGAAATATCGGTACAAGACCACACGGTATCACAACCCACAAGACCACAATCGAAATCTTCACTGACGTGAGAATATCAAATATCTGACAATATCATGACTGCCCACAAAATATTGAACAAGGTGCTATAAACTTCAAAATAATATTTTATGTCTCAAGTGGGCCTACCTTTCCTCTGTGCAAAATACAAAGAAAGTTAACATTTAAAGGCAATTTAAACCCACCTTAAACGTTAAGAGAGCAGCACTGAGTAATGTGTCAATTACGATTGATCCGATACGCGCCTTCTACCTAATTGGTTTTCAATGTCTATTGTATTGTGGGAATACCCTGACACGTTAAACATAACCACAGTTTTTCCGCCTCTCCGTGTTACGCAGATGTTATTCTGTCTGAAACCTTCTCAGGATATTTTCGCTTTCTATGTTCTCCGCAGAAATAAATATAAAAAAAAAATCAATGGCCAATGTTCAGGCCTGCGTATTAGTGCGGCGCTAAATCATTAAAAATGGGAGAAACATTAAATTGTTGCCATAACACAACAGTTATATTATAATTATTGCATTCGTGCATGACCTGACTTCTGGACTAGAATTTACCGCTGCCTCTAAAAAGAAGAGTCCATCCACCCGAGAAACTGCTTAAGCTTGCATTAGCGCTTGTAGGTCTGTCGATATCTGAGAGACAAGTCACTCCAATTAAACAATTGCTCCAATTTCTGAGAGATCAAACAACAGTCAAGTTTTTTCTTTTTCCTGCCACGGAGTTTCTAAGAGTCGCGAACTCTGCATGAAGCAGCCAGTACGAAATTAACCCCTTATATGATGTCACTACAGCGCCATTTCCGGCCAAAGGTTTTGCGCACTCCATCGCAATGAGTACCGGGTGTTCATCAATATACTGTGTGTGTGTGAGATAAAAGGCATTTTATTCTACATTTTAATATTTTCCGTCAAATCACAATTTTTAATAAGATAATAAAATATAAAATATTTAAAATATCATTTCACGTTCCGCATCGAATGATCGATTTACAAATTGGAACGTTTTTTTAAATATTTTATATTTTATTATCTTATTAAAAATTGTGATTTGACGGAAAATATTAAAATATTAACCTAATTCACAATATGACGCAAATATACTACCTTATTTTATTCTATATTTTCTCGTGAACTAAAATGCACAGAATGAAAATCAAACGCATCTAAGAAGGTTATTATTAGATAAAACAGGTGGTGCGTATAGATACCACTTGCTTTAAACAGTTAAACCATGTTCATTTTAACAGAGTCTGAAAAAACAACTTTGAATTTCTTCTGACTTAATCCGTAGTGTTCCTTTTATCCAACAGACAGAGAGAGGAGAATGAGGCTTGTAATTATGGTCACCTTGTGATAAATTCCGTATCCCAGCCACACAGGAACACACTGACATATGACCAACAGGGCCACTTAGTCACCATCATGGGGTGAACATCCAGATGTCTCGACTTAAACGCGTGTTGACCGACGGACTGACTTGTAGCCAGTTGAATTAATCCCCACTCCTCTAAGCTTAGGTCTCTCGAACCGGATATCCTGATGATGGAAGCACTAAGTACCTCTGCAACGTCGATCAATTTTTACGAGACTATACGACGCAGCAACCCAGAAGACATAATAATCAATATTTAAGTATTTTTACGTAAATATTAAATCCAACAAACCACGAGATATGGGTACGTCATAACTCTTCCCACCGCTGCAGAACGGATTAATTTTATTTTGCGGACATTACTGTGAAAACTCATTGCATGGTGTGAACATGGCACAACCAGCGGAAAAGCAAATGAAAACCGAAGGCATCAGATCAATTCTGTCTGCAGGCTGAATCAACAACTGGTCGAGTTGTTACCTCGATAAAGAGAGAGTCAATGTTAATCCCGTCTCCAGCCACGACGTCCTTGTCTCCTGT